GCTGGGACTACAGGTGCCCATCACCACGCCCAACTAATTTTTTTGTATTTTTAGTAGAGACGGGGTTTCACCGTGTTAGCCAGGCTGGTCTCAATCTCCTGACCTCATGATCTGCCCGCCTCGGCCTCCCAAAGTGCTGGGATTACAGGCGTGAGCCACCTCGCCTGGCCACAAGTTGTTTTTTTTTTTTTTTTTTTTTAAGAGGGACACGGAGTCTCTCTCTGTCGCCCAGGCTGGAGTGCAGTGGTATGATCTTGGCTCACTGCAATCTTCACCTCCTGAGTTCAAGTGATTCTCCTGACTCAGCCTCCCAAGTAGCTGGGATTAGAGTCACATGCTACCATGCCCAGATAAATTTTTTTTTTTTTTTAATAGAGACTGGTTTCACCATGTTGGCCAGGCTGGTTTCAAACTCCCGACCTCAAGTGATCTGCCCACCTTGGCCTCCCAAAGTGCTGGGATTACAAGCATAAGATTCTGTGCCCAGCCTGTCTACCTCACTTTCTAAGCAGGAAGAAGCCACCTTAGATTCTTCCTTCTCTCTCAACCACCCAGTCAGTCAGTCCTTTCATATTTAACTCCTAAATACTTTCATAACTCCCTAAAATCAGGTTCTTATCTCCGTCCTGGAATGTTATCACTAATTGATCTCTGTTATCAGTAATATCATGCTTCAATTTACCATATATTAGTCATTTTCGTTTATAAAAATCACATTGTACTTTAAAATGCAAACTTCTTAGTTTGGCTTAAAAGACTTTGTCCAATCTAGCCTCAGCTTCTTTCTCCAGTCTCCTTTCTCAATTTCTTACCTTAGAGTCATAAATATTAAATACGCTGACCTCTGAGTCATAAATATCAAACACCCTTGACTTTGCCACAAACCTATCACAGTACCTTTGCAGACACTTTCCCCAACCTAGAATTCCCTTCTCTCCTCACTGGCAAACAACCTTCAAGACCCTATTCAAACATCACCTCTGTAAAGCTTTTCCTACATCGCCAGGTAATTACCCCCCTTTTCTCCACTGTTGCCTACCAAATGTCCTTTTTAATGGATTTCCATTATTTCACCTGTCACAGTGTTTTACAATTACTTGCAGAATCTGTTTCCTTGTAGATCGAGAGCTTCTTGAGGGCAGGGGCCTTGTCTTACCCATTTTTCTATCCCTAGTGCCTGCCATTATGTCTGACCCATAGTAGGAACTCAATAAATATTTGTTGAATAAATGACTCCGGGCTCTAAAACAAATGTAAGCGCATAAGGCGACAGGCTTTGTGCAGGGGTGGTTTACACAAATGGCATAACACCAGATTTTCATTTGATGGGAATTAGATCTTTACTCCATGAAGAGAAGCGTTCCAGCTCATCATCTGACAGTGGTCACTCACCACCACCACTCTCAACCCCACGAGAAGCCACTTCTGAGGAAGAATGGGGTGGAGGAGAGGTCTTCACCGCTGCTCCAAAAGGCAGTGGGTGATAACGATTCTGAACGACTATAGGAAAAAAATCTACCCTGAGGCTGGAGACGCTGGAGAATGGGGGCAGCAATTATCTTCCCGGCCGTGCACACTAGCCCTTCAAGACACGTCCCTAACCCCCACACCGCAGCCCCTCCCTCGTCTACCCCCAACAGCGGGGCCTCGATCCTGCTGCCCCGCCCCCTCTTTCTCCGCACCCTCCAATATTTCCTGCCACAGAACCCCCTCACAATTGTAACCTTCTCGTCACTGGGACTTAAGGGCTACAGATCCTCTCATCCCTGATCCCCGCACCACTCTACAGCCCCGACCCCCACCTCCAGCCTGCTCTTACTGTCCAGATAATGTTCCAAATACATCCCCGCAGCCATCTCGAAGCAAAACAAAGCAACTTCCGATCCGCCCCGGAAGTGACTATAACGCGACAGGGTCCGAAGCCATTTTGGGGCTAAAGCCTTTCCGCCCTTAAAAGGAGAACTTCCGCCCTTACTATGTTACCGCCGGTACACATCCGCCCGACGCTCAAACTTTTCCTTTTGCATGGTAGCCACGACCGCCCATAGTGAGGCAGCTGTAGCCCGCTTCCGCCCTTACAGAGACCCCAGGACGCGACCGAGACAGGTATGACGTCACTGAAGGTCGCCATTTTGCATTATCGGGCAAACTTTTTTCCCTCCAAAACGGGAATGTATGGCAATCGGTGCAGGGGTAACTGTTCACTTTAGGCTTATATTGCGTAAACATCCCTTCTCAGCGACTGGAAGATACAGCTTTTTTTCCCTCTTTGCAGAATATGACTTTTTTCAAGCCAGTTAGTTTCTTAAGGAAGTTGGGGAAGAGTATCAAGCCTTGAGATTTAAACCCTTTGCATTTCTTTTCACTCACACAAACACCATCTCCCCCAGCATTATTTTTTTTAGCTTGAGAAGGATTATCAACTTTCTACTTATAAATACAAATAATGACAATAATGCTATAATTCTGCACATCTTTTGTCAGACCTCCTGTACTTTACACTCGAATACTTTCACATATAAAATACTACTTCTGACGTTGCCCTCTTGCTCCTTTTTTTTTTTGAGACAGAATTTTCACTCTTGTTGCCCAGGCTGGAGTGCAATGGCGTGATCATGGCTCTCCGCAACCTCCACCTCCCAGGTTCAAGCGATTCTCCTGCCTCAGCCTCCTGTGTAGCTGGGATTACAGGCATGCACCATCACGCCTGGCTAATTTTGTATTTTTAGTAGAGACGGGGTTTCTCCATGTTGGTCAGGCTGGTCTTGAAATCCCGACCTCAGGCGATCTGCCCTCCTCAGCCTCTCAAAGTGCTGGGATTACAGGCGTGAGCCACTGTGCCTGGCACCTCTTGCTACTCTCTAAGGGGGAACCTCATGTTTTTGTTTTTCTTTTGTTTATATGTGATGTTAGCATCATAATTCTGAAGGGGTCGAGTGATGCAGCACTATCACTACAGGGCTAGTTGGCTAGCTAGTTGCCAGCCATCACTCTAGTTAGCTATGGTAGAGTGATTTCTATGGTTTTCATCAGAATGGAAAGCAGTCAAGGGTATGAGAGGCTGCCAACACACTAGGCAAATAGAACTCAAAGGCCATAACTTAATAGTGGTGTTAGTAAGATAGCATCTTAGAGATAGCTGCCATCCCTCACGCCTTTCATACCCTCACACATCCTTCATAAGAATTATCAATGTCTTATGTCAAGTTTTTAATGAGACAGACTTTCAGCTATATAATTTCTACCAAATACATGAAGAAGAGGAACTTCCAACCCGGGGCGGATTGGAAGTTGCTTTGTTTTGCTTTGAGATGGCTGCAGGAATGTATTTGAAACATTATCTGGACAGTAATAGCAGGCTAGAGAAAGGGGTCAGGGGCTGTAGAGCGGTGGGGGTATCAGGGCTGAGAGGATCTGTAGTCCGTAAACCCCAGGTTTACTAGTGTGCAGGTAGTAAGATACAGCAGTAGAATCCAGGAAATTTTGCTCTCATTACAAGAGTCATGCTTTTCGGTAAGTAATTTAATCTCTGTGCCTGTTTTACTATACAGTGAGAATACTACCTACCTCATAGGGTTGTTGCAATAAGTTTTAATACTGGTGAAGTTAGGGCCATTAGAGCCTTTTCAAGAGCTGTTGAGAGTGGGAGGAAAAACAAGTAAATATCCAGGGAGCTAAGAAACACTGGCATATTTGGTCATATGTGATACATTCATTGGTATTACACAACATATTGATAGACCACCTTAGGTGCCCACACAGGATATCTAGCACTAAATTAAGTGCGCTTTATTTATCCCAGTCCAACTAGGTAAGGAGTACTATTGGCCAGCAGTCCCAGAGAACCACCAGTTCTCGGGATGTGGGAGCTTGGTCACAACTTTCACGACTTTTTCAGTGCTTAAAGCAAGGTTTTCTTTTTTTCTTTTTTTTTTTTCCAGACAGAATCTCACTCTGTGGCCCGGCCTGGAGTGCAGTGGTGCGATCCCAGATCACTGCAACCTCTGCCTCCCAGGTTCAAGTGATTCTTCTGCCTCAGCCTGTAGCTGGGACTACAGGCGTGTGCCACCACACCTGGCTAATTTTTGTATTTTTATTTTTTTGAGACAGTCTCACTCTGTCGCCCAGGCTGGAGTGCAGTGGCATGATCTTGGCTCACTGCAACCTCTGCCTCCTGGGTTCAAAAGATCCTCCTGCTTCAGCCTGAGTAGCTGAGATTGTAGATGCCCACCACTATGCCCAGATCATTTTTTTTTTGTATTTTTAGTAGAGATGGGGTTTCACCACAATGGCCAGGCTGGTCTTGAACTCCTGACCTCAAGTGATCTGCCTGCCTCGGCCTCCCAAAATGCTGGGATTACAGGTGTGAGCCACCGCACCCAGCCTTAAAGCAAGCTCCTTAATTCTCAAAAAAGGTATCTTGAGAGTTATCTAGTCCAATCCCTTCACTAACAGTTGAAGAAGCACCCTGGTCACCACTGGTTGATGGTAGGCAAAGGGCTTAAGTCCAGGTTTCATGACCACATTCTACTCCACAGTACTACAGCTCTTCTGCATAAACCAATCTTGCACCCCTTAACCGGTTATGATTTCCACAAGTCAATAAACATACATATGGATACACTGCCAACTGCAAGCCCCTACTCCAGACTCAGGCAGGTGTGTGGATCCTTCCAAGAGGCTTCCATTTTTCTTCCATAGGGAGCTGAGCTGTTGGGTTAACACATAACCAAAGCCTTGCTCTCACCTATTTAGGAAATGCAATCCCCCGTGACAGAATGTGTATGTAGTAAGTCCTCATCAACCAGGATTCACGGGAGACGTCATGAAACTGTACCCTTCCAGGACTGGAGAACTGCACACATGGGACATCATCACACAGGCACTCGTTCATCACACACACACTCTGCTATTAATCACTTTATAAATACTATTCTTGGACATCTCCCCAAATGCCTTTTCCGCATGCTCGCTCACATCAGTAGCTCCACTGCCTCTGATCCTTTTACATGAATTTATTTCTATACAATGTTCTAAAAACACCCCTTGGTTTGTACATAAGGTTTTTTCTTTTTTTTTTTTTCTTCATTTTTAGATTGCTTTATAACAACTGGTTTCCTGATTTTTTTTTTTAAATTTCCTTTCCTCTGAAATCTGCCATGATTAAAAAAAAAAAAAAAAAAAAAGACAAAAAAAATGCTGTGGCTGGAGGACAGGGGTGGAGGGAAAAAAAGGACAAAAATAAACAAAACATCAAATATGAAAATTCTCAGAGATAATGCATTTATAAACACAGAAATGGTTACAACAAAGATGGCCGTGATGAGTGGGTATAATATATTTATATATATATATTTATATATAAATCCGTGTCCGGCATCTGACCGTGGCACCTAGGGAGCTAAGTCCAGTCCTTGTGTTTGCCTTGAACTCTCCCTTCTCCGCAACACCCCTGTTTTGGAGTTTCACAGATAACACAAAGCCTCCCACAGCTCCTTGGGGGGTGGGTTGGGGAGACTGAGAGCATAGGGTCTGTGTAGGCAGAGAAGGAGAGAGGCTCCAAGGAAATCCCTAAAACCATAACCCACACTTCTAAGCCACCTGTGACCAACTTGGGAATTTCTGGCCCCTTGGGGACCACATCTCAGCCCTTGCCCCCTTCAAATAAAAGGAGGTCTGTCCCCTACCCCAAATCTTCTACCAGCAGTCAACAGGAAGTGAAGTGAGACGATGCAGGGGAAGAAATGGCTCTCAGGGACTGAGGCAACTGAGAAACCTCTGTTCTTTTGCAGGCAAGAATAGAACAAGAGGCTGGTTGCATTTGGGGCTCCCTTTTCTCTGTTATCTGGGAGGGCCAGCCTCTAGTCTTCTATCAACCCAAACTTTGAGGATAAGGAGGGTAAGGATAGGGTAAGTGACCACACTGGACAAGTTTCTATGAGGTCATAGCAAATCCTTCCCTTGAGCACCAACCCCCAATTTTAAAAGCTTTGCTTGGGAGGGGAGGCTGCTGGATGACACCATCAGCTCAGTATTCCTTTGCAATCAGGAGGGCTGATGTTCCTTTTGAAGAGTTCAGAAAAAGGATGGTATCCTGTGAAGGAAAGCTGTGCCTGAGGCCCAAGGAGATGGAGCCAAGGCCTGTGAAGAAGAGGACTTTTCCCACCAAGAGGAGTTGGAGAAAGAAGAAACCAGGACTACTTCTTCCTCTTCCCAGTGGGTGGCAGCACGGATCTCTAAGAGCTGGCCAGGTGCTCCACCTGGATGGTGCTGGTGGTGACAGTGAGGCAGATGTCCTTATGATGCTCCGCCGTCTTATAGGGGGTCAGGTCAAAGGAACACTGGGGTGGAGGGTTGGGGTTGCTGTCCCCACCACCCCCACCCTGGGGGGCTGCCCCAGGAGACTGGAAGTGTGGTGGTGGCTGTTGCTGCTGCTGCTGCTGCTGCTGTGATGCCTGGGAGGCCTGGGCCTGGGCCTGGGCCTGAGCCTGAGCCTGAGCCTGAGCCTGGGCTTGCGCTTGAGCTTGAGCCTGGGCCTGCGCCTGGGCCTGGGCCACTGCTGCCGCCGCCGCTGCTGCCTGCACTTGTTGCTGAAGATCAGGAGGGTTGTGTTTGCGCATATGTTTCATAAGGTATGTTTCCTGAGGGAGATGGTAAAAAGAAGTTGAGGGATGAAGAAGAAGGAAAAGAGATTACTTGTAACTAGCACCCTAGGCTCTGATTCTGCTAGAGTTAAGGTTTATACTGGTTTTCTGGAGCCAAGACTGAGCAAAACTCAAGTAAGACTTTCAGTGGCTCACTACTGAGAAAAAAAAGAGAGGGGAACCTTTAGAAGTCAGTGAACATTCAACTGGCAAAGGAATGAGCTGCTATTTTTTTCGAAGACCCCTGAATGAAACAACCTTACAACCTTTCCTGGAGTCTCATAGAAAATATCTAACTGGGCCAGGTGTGGTGGCTCATGCCTGTAATCCCAGCACTTTGGGAGGCCAAGGCAGGTGGATCACTTGAGGTCAGGAGTTTGAGACCAGCCTGGGCAACATGGTGAAACCCCGTCTCTACTAAAAATACAAAAATTTACTGGGCGAGGGGACATGCACCTGTAATCCCAGCTACTCAGGAGGCTGAGGCAGGAGAATCGCTTGAACCCAGGAGGTGGAGGTTGTAGTGAGCTGAGATCACACCACTGCACTCCAGCCTGAGTGACAAGGCGAGACTATGTCTCAAAAAAAAAAAAAAAAAAGAAGAAAATACCTAACTGAAATCTTGCTCCCCTCAAAATTTCAAGTGGCTTTATTTTGCCTTACGTTTAAGTAAAATGAAGAATTACAGTTTATCAATCTCTATAGGATTAGGGGATCAGGCATCCCCTAAATTCCTCGGCTATGGGTCTAATTAATTTCTGAACATTTACTTGTTCTGCTAAGTTGGAGCTAGGGAGGCAGGGTATTCGCTGCAACAGATCTCTACCCAGAAAATGGGATGAAGTGGACTGTACTCTTAGAGGACTATCAGGAAGGAAAGAGAAGAAATGGAGCACTCACTGATGTGTATGCCCGACTGCAGATAGTGCAGGTGTACACCTTGGCATGCTTCACTGTGTGCGTAGACAGGTGCACCTCTAGTGAGGCTGCATCCGTGTACGCCCGATGACAGTTGTGGCACTTGAAGGGTTTATCTTTGTTGTGTTGCCGTCTGTGGGACTGAGAAAATTGGGAGAAACCAGAATGAATACATTGTCCTCTTCCCTCCTGCCCCCTTGACCTTGATGGAAAGCAAAAAGGTAGGTGTCAGGCCTCCCAGCTTCTCTCTCCATCTGAAGAAAGTAGAAATTGTTTCAAATGAAACTTGAGAAGCTACAGGCTAAGGGTGGAAGCATACCTCATGTAGCACATACCAGGATCCCAAGACAGCTTATGCCCGTCTCACCAGTCCAGTAGTTCTTAAAGTGAGGATCTTTAGGGATCTTTAGGGAACACTAAGATCTTCGCAGGGGGCCCACAGGATCAAAACTCTTTTTTCTTTTTTTTTAGATGGAGTCTCACTTTGTCGTTCAGGTTGGAGTGCAGTGGTGCAATCTTGGTTCACTGCAACCTCTGCTTCCTGGGTTCAAGCGATTCTCCTGCCTCACCCTGCAAGTAGCTGGGACTACAGGCACATGCCACCATGCCCGGCTAATTTTTTTTTTGTATTTTTAGTAGAGACGAAGTTTCACCGTGTTGGCCAGGCTGGTCTCGAACTCCTGAGCTCAGGTGATCCGCCCGCCTCGGCCTCCCAAAGTGTTGAGATTGCAGGTGTGAGCCACTGCACCCAGCCAAATCTTTTCAAAATAATAAGACAATGTTTGCCTTTGTCTCTCTTGAACCCGGGAAGTGGAAGCTGCAGTGAGCTGAGATCGTATCATTGCACTCCAGTCTAGGTGACAGAGCGAGCCTGTCTCAAACACACACACACACACACACACACACACACACACACACACACAATGGAAAACCTAACTGAAATCTTGCTTCCCTCAAAATTTCAAGTGGCTTCACTTTGCCATATGTTTTACATGTAACCTTTACAGAGGTTACATGATGTGTGACAACACAATAGGCCAGATGCAGCAGATATGAGAATCTACTCGTCTTCTAGCTTAAGACATTAAAGATCCCTGTGCCAGGTGCGATGACTCATGCCTGCAATCCCAGCACTTTGGGGAGGCTGAGGCGGGAGGATGGCCTCTGTCCAGGAGTTCGAGACCAACCTAGGCAAGACAGCAAGACCCCCATCTCTACAAAAATTAAAAAACCAGCCAGGTGTGGTGGTGCATGCCTATAATCCCAGCTACTTGGGAGGCTGAGGTGAAAGGATCACTTGAGACCGGGAGGCTGAGGCTGCAGTGGGCCGTGATCACACCACTGCACTCAGCCTGGGTGACAGAGCAAGGTCCTGTCCCCAAAATTAAAAATAGACACCTGCAAAAATGTATAATCATGCCATTCTTCTCACTCAGTTGTTTTTGGAGGGTCTTGGAATATGTTATTCATGTTAACACACAATGGGTTTTTGTTCTTTCTAAACAGATTACCATTATAAATATTTTTCAGGTTTTTCAGTTTTACAGCCTCTATGTAGACAGCTATTACCCACATAAACAAAAACTCTTTGGGTCCCTCGATAATTTTTGAGTGTAAAAGAGTCCTGAAAACATTTGAGAACCACTATACTATTCAAATGGCCCCAAGTCTCAGACTCAAGGTCTGTGTGGAGGGTGGAACATTTACCTGCAGATTGGAGAGTTGTGTGAAGGCTTTCTCACAGCCTGGGTGTGCACATTTGTATGGTCTATCACCAGTGTGGATTCTGCACAGGATGAGAAGAAAGGGAAAGAATGTCAGCAAGACCACTTAGGAACTGGCTCAACAAGTATTCTCCAGGTCAATCCTGCTCTCCTAAGGAGGCACATCAGATGGGCCTCCAAGAGGCATCAGCTTTCCTCTCTGATGTGGATCAGGTACTAACGCTTTGCTTCTGGTCAATGCCTGCATCACTCAGCTCAAGCTGAGGCTCCTCTCTGCTGGGGGAGGAGAGACTGAGGACTTGGCACCCAAGGGACAGGCAGCCCAGAATTTGGCATACAACTCAGCTCCTACAGTAACTGTCCTAACGAACATTCAAGAACATAAGAAAAACACAATGGCAAGGAAAAAGAAAAGCCCAACGCGTCTTCCTTGGTCCCACCTTATAGCCAGAAACAGTCCCCTCAGCCTTGAGCATCACTTCCAGAGAATGTTATGGTATCAAAGAAAAGCAGAGTTACACTGATTGTGGAGAGTAGTAGTGATATGAATGGAAACTCATTAAAACTTCTAAGTGCTTTTTGCAGTCCAGCCCCCTAATGGCAGGAAATGCCTAGTTTAGTACCAATGTGACCTCTTTCCCCAACACCACAGGGCCCTCTGCTAAGATGAGCCAAGGACTTAAGGGTGCAGTGACACCCGCTCCTCATCAGCAACTTCAGAACCATCTCCATGACCAGGTGCTTTTCTGGACCTCTGGTATAAAATCTCAAAAACGTCACAGGACACGTCTCTTCTTTGTGAAGAAAGCCTGATTCCTCCCCTCCTCTTCTCAAAGCAAGATGCCTGATCACTTTGAGATCATCACATCCACAAGAAGCCGGGTGAGACGGTCTATGGCCTGTAAGTCTGGACTCCAACTTGAGATAGCACCGAAGGAGATCATCACCTCTTCTAGTTGGCAGGTTCACTTCTTCCTAGTCACTCCAGATTCACGGGATAAACACTGGGCGGGCATCTTTATGAAGCATGAGGTTTTTCCTTTTCTGTTTGCTGATTCTCTCTGAACATTTAGTACATGTTTTCTTTTGTTCTCTACTCTTGGCATCCCTCGGAGCCTTGCTTGTTGCTGTGGGTGTCACCAGGCTGGTGCCCAGCTAATGTCTGATTTTATCTTCTGTTCATAATTGGTGCCCTAAGGGCTAGAGGTACGGTCTTCTCCACTCAAATGACTCTGTTTTGGCATCAAGAGGCAAATCTTGCAAGACGGGTACATGAGTATTTTCAGGGAGGAAAATAAGAGAAAAGTTGTTTCCACTCCAGGTATGTGTCTGTCTCCCATGGACCAGTGAATATCATACAGTCACTGCAGCTCCCCGATGTAGCTCTTGCCCCAGAGAGGCTCTCTCTGTGTCCACTTGAATCTCCAGTGGTGTTTGGTCTTCCTTCTCCCAGATGCCAGCCAGGTCTCTCCTCCAGCCAGGTCTCTCCCCCGCCCCCCGCATGCGGGTTGTTGTGTGTGTCCGGGGGCGGGGGTGGGGAGGGCATGCCAGCGGGGCGGGGTCAGTAGCCCGCCACTCTCCCTTACCGTGTGTGCTGCTGGAGGTGGGAGAGCTGGCGGAAGGCCTTCTGGCAGTAGGAACAGTTGTAGGGCTTGGCCCCCGAGTGGATACGGAGGTGCTGGGCCAGGTAGGAGGTGTTGGCGAAGGTCTTGGAGCAGTGCGGGCACTTGTGGGGCTTGATGGTCTCCGTGTGCATCTTGGAGTGGATCCTGCCGGAGAGGAGAGGAGGGAAGGGGGGAGGAGGAAGCAGTTCGACACCAGGGGCTCAGCTCTCTGCTGGGTGAAATGATGTTGCTTGACGGATGAGAGCACCCCCTTCCTCCCTCCTCCCAAAAGCACTCCAGCCTGGATAGGCAAATGAAGAGGACACCCAGATCTAGGTTGTTGCTGATCGTAAGTCGGTGGCTAGAATGGCAGTGAGATGATGAAGAGCTGCAACCCATGGCTCCTGGTAACCTTAAAGTAGTCAATCTCATCAACCCTCCGCTTTTTCCTAAGGTTAACACACTCACCACAGATACCCTGCTTCCAAATAGTAATTTGAACAAAGACCAATACCGCCTGTTCCCCATGGACCTGAAGTTGAATGCACACCTTGGCTCTGAACTGAAGCATATAGTAAAAGCAGGCCTGCTCTGCAGAAGATTTCCAAACACAGACACAGAGAGAAACCACAAAAATTGTTCCAGACTTTGGAATTGGAGACCACAATTTTCAAGGCCCCCCAAAGAGCTAGGATATATAATTTCCACAGACAGTAATAGGAGGTTGAGGCTACCAATGGGCAAAGGTGAAAGGGAAAAAAAAATACATGTGGAGGAGTAGGTGCAGGTAACATGGCCTTAGGGTTCACGGCCAGGTGGTGGGGTAAACCAAGAGCAGCCTTACCGGGTGTGCTGCTGAAGGTGGGAGAGCTGGCGGAAGGATTTCTCACAGAAGTTACAACTGTAGGGCTTAGCCCCTGAGTGTATACGGATGTGCTGGGCCAGGTAGGAGCTGTTGGCGAAGGTCTTGGAGCAATGTGGGCACTTGTGGGGCTTGGTCTCGGTGTGTGACTTGGAGTGGATCTGCATCTCCGACTTGGAGTAGAATGTCAGTGAGCACATCCGGCACCTGAGCCAAGTGAGGGCAATGGTTAGAACCCTTCCCATCAAGAAGGTGTGGCTGAACCCTCCCCTCTACGTCCAAGAGAAGCCCACCTATCTGAGCTCTCTCCTACTCCAACCTGAGAGTAGGGCTCTATGTATTCATCTTCATGGCCTAAGCGTCTAACATGGTGCCCAGCACATTATAAATATTCAATGAATGTTCGCTGAATGACTGGACTGCCTCGATGTGCAAAAATGTATTTCAACCAGATAAAACAGAGTAACAGTATGAACTCCGGGCAGAAGCAAATTTCTTTTTTTTTTTTTTTTTTTGAGACGGAGTCTCGCTCTGTCGCGTAGGCTGGAGTGCAGTGGCCGGATTTCAGCTCACTGCAAGCTCTGCTCCAGGATTTATGTCATTCTCCTGCCTCAGCCTCCCGAATAGCTGGGACTATAGGCGCCCGCCACCTCCAGCTAGTTTTTTTGTACTTTTTAGTAGAGACGGGGTTTCACCGTGTTCGCCAGGATGGTCTCGATCTCCTGACCTCGTGATCCGCCCGTCTCGGCCTCCCAAAGTGCTGGGATTACAGGCTTGAGCCACCGTGCCCGGCCTAGATGCAAATTTCAATGGGCCAGGAATATCAGTTAACTTGTTTTCCTTCTGCCTACAGCTTGATTTCAAACATTTAAGGAATTCCTTTCTCTAATGTTCCTGTGTATGAAGTACATGCTTCTGTATTCCTCAAGACCCCTAGATGATAATGAGGAACAACTAACTAGATCCTCTCTTGCCTCCACAGATAATTTTCTTCCCTCAGATTGTCCCCTACTTCCTTTTTGGCAGTGATTTCTAGAGGGATGGGGGTGAGGAAGTATCAGAATTATTTGGAGGGGCTTTTTCAAACCATGTATGTCTGCTCTCCACCCTCTTATCTGATGTTCCATCCATCATCTACCCACCCCTTGCCCATAGCCCCTTGACAATCAAGTGAAAACCACTTTTGCAATGACCAAGGTAGCTGCTAGGGGAAGGTGCCAGCCCTCAAGCATTTGGGAGAAAAATGTTTACAGAACGCCTATCTTCGAAGCTAAACCTTTCCTCTTCCCTAGCACATGCAGCCAGTGTCAGCACTCTGGGTTGACATCAGCAGCACCTGATCATACTTTCACTCATCCCAAGTTGGCAATCCTTTCCACTCTGGTATTGTCCACCAAATGTCAAATAAGGAGGCCTCTGAGCAAGTTAAGCCACGACTATCCAAACTTTACTGAGTAAAAGCCATCTTTCATTTTCGTAAGCAATTCACCAGTGTAAAATGGGAGCTAGTAGAAAAGGCAATGGCCTGGAAGCCAGGCAATTAGCACAAGTCCCTCTTCTTTGGGTTCTCCCTAACTTATCTTCTTAAGAGAGGCTTCAGGTGGTGTGGGGTGATGATTTCTGCACTTTTTTCACCTCAGGAGAATTTTTTAGTTACCAGATTATTGATCCCTGGCAGTTGTCTGAGATGCCCAATCATTGCAGGAGACGAGGAGGCTCTGTTTATAGTGAGCATAACCCAAAGGACACAAGCAGTGGGAATCGGGATGCCTGGCTTCTACTCAGGGTTCAGTTACACACTTGCTCATTAATACACCTCAATTTTCTGGTGTGTAAAATGGAGAACTAAACTTTTGCCCCCAGAAGGGCCAGCAAACACCTAGGACAGTCAAAGGTAAGCCAAGTATTCTCCAGTAATAAAACTGCATTCATCTTAAGCCTTAGTGCTGACGGACGAGCTCATGCTAGTAAATATTTCACTAAGACTGAGGTTAGAAGCTGGACACATTGTCACTTGAAGGGCAACTGTACTAAAGTTGCAAACTAATTTCCTTTGATGCTACAATTTCTCAGACAGGTAAAACATATTTATTTTAACCCAAATAAAATCTCATCAATTTGTGTGTGAGGGTGTTCAATCAACAATTCTGCCCTTAACATTAAGGTTAATTTTAAAAAATAATAATAATAACCCACTTAATCAAAGTTTCCAATAAGAGAACCTGCAAAACTTAAATTCATTTATAATGTGCTGGCAAGGGAATGAGCAATCTCAGAATACACTAGGTATAATAAAGATGATGAGCACAATTATAATAGTTGCCATTTGTTGTTAGGCCTGACAGTGCCAGGCACTAGGTTAGGCACTTCAGACACACAGTTTCTACTCCTCACAACCTGGCAAGTCTTACCCATGTTTTACAGAAAGGAACACAAAGACTCAGAAAGTAATTTGCCAAAGGGCAGTTATTCACTACAAAGCCATGATGCCAGCCTACTTTAAGATTCCTAACACCAGAGGTAATCAAGCAGAGATTGGAATCATCTGCCAGGAAGGGACTGACCAAGGAGATCATTAAAATATTTCCAAGTTGAAAATCCTATGACGTCAAATAAGAGAGTCCTCTAATGCAAGGTGCTGGATGGTTGGAAACAAATTTAATTTCGGAGAGTTGTGGCAGTCAGCAGAGGATAGAAAAGCCAGTATCCATATCACTGGGTGCATTCCTCCAGGGGCACCATTCACATCCAGCACAATGAGAACGGGGCCCCTCGGAAGCATACAATGCGATGGCCTTGATTATAATGATTACGATGGCCACTGAATTATCATCCATGCTTCCTAAAATGCTCAAAACAATTTCAGATATTCTGACTTTGCCTCAAAACATTTCTACAAGGTAGATGAAGGCATGGTTGATCTTCCCATTTTATATATGGGAATGAAGAGTGGGAGATATGTTGACTTGCCCAGAGTAACAGAACCCAATTCCCCCAATACCCAGTCAAATGCTACTGACCACTGAAATGGATATGGCTGACCCACACATGCATCAAAATAGAAATTCATTGTGATTAAAAAGATTTCTTTTGCCGGGCACAGTGGCTCACGCCTGTAATCCCAGTACTTTGGGAGGCCGAGGCAGGCAGATCACCTGAGGTCAGGAGTCTGAGACCAGCCTGGCCAACATGGTGAAACCCTGTTTCTACTAAAAATACAAAAGAATTAGCTGGGCATGGTGGCGACCCTGTAGTCCCAGCTACTTGGGAGGCTGAGGCACAAGAATCACTTGAACCCGGGTGGTGGAAGTTAGAGTGAGTTGAGATTGTGCCACGGCACTCCAGCCTGGGCGACAGAGTGAGACTCCGTCTCAAAAAAAAAAAAAATTCTTTGGAACGTCAAGAATTCTGAGTTTCTGAAGAAATTCTGTTTACCTAGGATACAATAAGTCTCCCTTCAATTTCAGAGTTCTTTGTAGTCACCTGGGTGGAGGGTCATTCAGGAATTTCAAAAATACTGAATGTGTGGAAAGTCCTATGAGGCTTTCTTCCAACTGTATATTCACATTTCTTTTAATGTACACAGTTTGGAAAGTCCAGAGATAGCTTTAATGTGGGTCCCAGTGGAGAAAGGGCAGAAGGAGAGGACCCTGGATCCATTAGAAGGGCTCTCTCTATAGGATGTTAAAGGATCCTTCCACTACTTCTACAAATTGTATATAGATGTATCTCCATGTCACAATGGCCTCACTTTAAACAAACACATAAGAATCTAGATTTCTATACAATAACTTAAAAGGGATTTTAATTTTATGAACTGATATATAAAAGAATGCCTTTAAATGAATCAAACTTGTCAGGTACCTTTATAATATGATATGATGGAAACATTTTCCAGGAACACTTTTATTGTATAAAGTGGGGTACACCTGTAATAATAAAGCTGCAATGAACTTTTGGATTATGAGCTGGAATTCTGCAGTGCTCAATTCTGCATAGCAACACTCCTCTCATTTTCACTTATAAAGAGCGATTTAAACACTCTGTAGGCTACTCTCCACAGTAGAACTATACAACACAAATAAAAATAAATGCTAAGTAACTATTTCTTAACTTTCTTTTGAAGTTTCCAACATTTCAAATCTTATCTGATATATACTCCCAACAAATGGGAGGCATAAACAGAATTATCCCCATTTTACAGATGAGGAAACTGAGGCCCAGAGAGGGGAAAAGGACTTGCCCAGGGTCACACAGCAAATTCGTGGTGGAGCCGGGAACTGAATCCATGAGCCCAAGGCTCTGTCCATTTCCTGTGCCGCAGTTCCCTTCGCTCCTAAAATGGGAACAACATTGCCCATCTGGGTACACTAAGGAACTGAGGACAGACCCAGACTCCCAGCCATGCACATCTGCCCGTCTACTGTGACAGTAGTTATCCCACTCTATACAGTGCTACCAAACTCCCCAAACCCACTAGGGCATGTGACAGTTCTCAAAGGGATTAAAAGATGTTCAACTTTCAAAGGGCAGGGAGTTTACTTACGTAATTATTTTTATATAGTATCACATGCAAATATGCATATAATGCTTTTTGATAAAGGCAAACTTAGAGGAAGTGGAGAATCAAAATGACTTTCATAAATCAGAAAGCGAGCAAAGTCATTCTATAAGTCTACACTCCAAAGGGGGAGGCATCCTATTCCTCCTGCCTTCTTATGAAAGCCCCTCCCATCATCCCAACCATGCAGGGTGAGGCAGGCTCAGTGTTCAAATATGACCCAGGAACTGGTGAATGGCACATAGGTTAGGTGCTTACCAGAAAAGATTCTTAGAAAAATAGGAATGGAATATGTAGAAAGCAAAAAGGAGCTACAGACAAGAGTCTCAAACCCAGCATAAAGCCGCATTACAAGAGAGAGATTCTACTTTGTTACTAAAAAATGTCAGTGTTAACGACCCCCAAAACAAGGGTTAAAAAAAGGAAAGGGTGAAATGGGTCTCTGCATCCTAACAAGATGCTAGCAGCTCTGCCTCCTATCCTATGACGGGACACCTGACATGCAAGTGGCTCAGAGCTGGGAAGCTGTCAGAGTGTAGCACCTGACTGGGGCAGAACACAATGAGGGTACAGGGAGAATCACCAAGCTAGGCATCCTCGCCTCATCCTGCCCCTGGCTCTGAGTCTTACCTGTAGGTCTTGCCGTCTTTCTGATGGTCATCATCATCCTCAGGGGAGAGGACATAAGGGTCGTTCATCTCAGGCAGCCCTGATTCCAGCATCCGCTTCTTCTTCCGGCCCCGGGGCGGCTTAGGAGCCACACTGCCACCTCCACCACCACCTCCACCTCCTTCCTCGGTTAGGGTCGATGCTACCTTCTTGGAGAGGTCAGGGACAACCTGCAGGGCTTGTGAGCCAGGGGGAAGAGCTGAGACAATCATGGGAGCCGAAATGGGGAAGGTCTGAGCTGATGATGCTGTGGTCACAAGAGAGCCTGAGGGGGACGTGATTACCAAACCCGGACCTAGGATTGGGAGAAAAAGGAGATGGCGTCATGTTGTTCAGTTCTGACCCTAACCCTATTTCATTTCCCCCACATCATTGTCTAATTAACCCCTCACCCCCCGCCAACCCAACCCAGAGTACATAGGAAACCCCAAACCCTGTAGAAAAATAATGGTCTCCTAACCCTTGTCCCCACCCCCCTGGTAACAGTGAGATTTACCCCTTGATTGACTCCCTTCTCTTCTCCACCTCTGAGAACAGGAGACTCCTTGATTCAGAGAAGGAAAGAATGTCACCTCCTCAAAGGCAGGGACCGCATCTTCTACTTCTTTGTATCCCCCACAATGCCTAGCACATTGCTAGGCACACAGTAGGCACTTAATAAAAATGTGATTGAGTAATCAAACACATATCCCACTCCCCATGTCCGTGGAGCCCCCCAGCCTGGGGTACTGATCATGGAGGATCAACACCTCAGATTGGAGAAGAGCAGAGTTGCTCACCAGCAGTCATCAGTCCTGTAGACGGCACAGGGACCACCGTGATATTCTGGGTAACAGATGCTTGGCTGTGTGGGGTCAGCTGGTCTGACTTGGACTCTGTGTCCATACTGATGCCCGAGGGCAGGGACACTGAGGCAGGCACTGTCAGCAAGGTGGGGTAGTGAGGTGGAGCCAGACCACAGCCCTTCTCTGGCAACAGCTGATCCTTCATCTTGTTGATGAACATTGTGTTCTCAATCTAAGAGAAAAGGAAGGGGAAGGGAGCACCCTCTTCAGACTGAGAGGTTGATTCTGCTTGCTCGTGAGCACATTTCAGTGTCTGTCCACCTTAGGGATCAAGGATGAGTACTTCATACCTTTGGCCTTCTAAAGAGAAGCCAAGGCAGAAACACTAGATAATGCTCAGCGGTGGGGGACGAAGGAAAACAGCACATGGTGGACCTTCAGTCTCCACAGTAACAGAACTTGCTACTGAGAGTTGGGGAGAGCAAGAAAGCAACACCACTTACCTGACCTGAGACTGTGGGGATAGAAGGCCAGAAGTATGGGTTAGAATTGAAGTGAGATTCTTCCATTCTACCTGAAGAAAAAATGAGAGAACACATCACATTCCGGAATTACTCTGAACAAGCTAAGCAATGGAGAAGGGGAACTGAAAGGTTCCTGGTCTCCTCTGGCACCTGATCACATGGTTGGGGACTGGCAGTCAAAACCTTAGTGTCTAGCACATTAGTCCCTTGGTCAGAGCCACTTGTCACTGTATCCCCATCCAACAGAGGCTATCCTACTTAATGACTGTGAAAGAACTTATACGTATCGCATTTACTCACACAATGTTATTCATGCCCCCTGAAGAAAAACTGGTATTACTTTCCTTTGCCGGCAAAAAGAAACTGAGGTCATGAGAGGGGAGATGATGTACCTAAGGTCACAGAAAACAAATCACTGACTGACTTGAAAACGGCCAGGTACTAGTACCTATCATTATTCCTTTCTCTTATTCTTCAAAACTATACTCCTTAAAATAAAAATTTTATGTTTTATTTTTTCTGTTTTTGAGACAGGGTCTTACTGTCACCTAGGCTACACTGTAGGGGCACAATCATAGCTCACTCCAGCCTCAATCTCCCGGGCTCAGCCTCCTAGGGAGCTGGGACTACAGGCCGTGTAACACTATGCCGGACTAATTTCTTTTCTTTCTTTCTTTTTTTTTTTTAAAGTAGTGACAGGGTTTTTCCATGTTGCCCAGGCTGGTCTTGAACTCCTAGGCTCAAGGGATCAGCCCACCTTGGCCTCCCAAAGTGCTGGGATTACAGGCATGAACCACTGTGCCCAGCCAATAAAAATTTCAAGAGTTCCGGCCAGGCACGGTGGCTCACGCCTGTAATCTCAGTACTCTGGGAGGCTGAGGCAAGCAGATCATGAGGTCAGAAGATTGAGACCATCCTGGCTAACACGCCACGGTAAAACCCCGTCTCTACTAAAATAAAAAAAATTAGCCAGGCCGTGGTGGTGGGCGCTGTAGTCCCAGCTACTCAGGAGGCTGAGGCAGGAGAATAGTGTGAACCCGGGAGGCGGAGCTTGCAGTGAGCCGAGATCGCACCACTGCACTCCAGCCTGGGTGACTGAGTAAGACCTCCATCTCAAAAAAAAAAAGAAAACATTTTTAAGAGTTCCAACCAATACGTCTACAGTTCTATGTGGTTTGAAAAGGTTCCAGGCCAGAACATAAAGAACTAAGAAAATTAAAAGATGAAGACTGGTGTAGTGGCTCACACCTGTAATCCAGCACTCCGGAAGGCTGAGGTAGGTGGATCATTTGATGTCAGGAGTTTCAACCTGGTGAAACCCCATTTCTACTAAAAAATAAAAAATTAGCTGGGTGTGTGGTGCATGCCTGTGATCCCAGTTATTTGGGGAGCTGAGGCAGGAGAATCGCTTGAACTGGGAGGCGGAGGTTTCAGTGAGCTGAGATCGTGCCACTGCACTCCAGCTGGGGAACAAACGAAACCCCATTTAAAAAAAAAAAAAATCAGAATCAAAGCATATTTTAAGTACCACCTACTATCAAGATCACACCCCACCAATCCCACCAAGGTCTAAGAACATCCATGGTGCGACACGGGTACCACACATGCAGCGCTGAGCAGTGAGAATCAAGAATTATAGTTTTTAAAAGTGTTCTGGCACTAGCAGTATCCCAGGTTTCCAAAGCGTTTCAAGAATAGGTATAATAGTGGGCCTGTTTTGTAATATAGTGTATATTTTGGTCAAAACTCACCAAACTACACAGTTAAAAGCTTTGTGTTTTATTGTATGTAAATTATATGCATAAAATATAAAACATATAATCTCACTAATATTCTTCAGTTTACTAACTCAAATTCCTAATTGTGAAATTGAAGTTCTAGAGTGAATGGTTAAATATTTTATCAAAAACACATTTCAAAAACTTAAT